TAGTATTACAGCATAGGTGTTATGTCATCGTTATCTGATGATCGCAGGATTGGCCGGGTCATGGTGTCGGGGTCACATCATTTTAACCCATGATGAGTCACGCCGATAGTGTCGGGATGTGACACAAAGGAACGAGACCGGAGCTCCACACATACAGCACCGGCCTGCTCAGTGAGGAGAGTAGAGATCGGTTTCAGGCGGTTAGTACCGGAATAAATAACAGTATAACCGCCGCTGTGACCTCCCCGGTCTCACGGCCGGTGGACACGTGACCGGAAATACCTCTCACCTCCGCTCCGGCCTCAGCAGACCCTTCAGGAGACGAGCTGCCGCCATGTTTGGGCTCCCGGGCTCCGCCCACCGCACACTGATTGGGGAGAACGCGGTCTGGTGATGTGATGCAAAGGAGGGTGAGGCCACCCGGAAGTCACAAGACTTCTACTGAGTGTCCGGAGAGGAGGTTAGTGCGGGGCTTGGGGGGGGCTGATGTACCCCAATAATGGCCGAGATGTTTATATACACCCCGCTACACTCGGACCCTTCCCTCTGTATACACCTCGCTACACGCGGACCCTTCCCTCTGTATACACCCCGCTACACGCGGACCCTTCCCTCTGTATACACCCCGCTCCACGCGGACCCTTCCCTCTGTACACCCCGCTCCACGCGGACCCTTCCCTCTGTACACCCCGCTCCACGCGGACCCTTCCCTCTGTACACCCCGCTCCACGCGGACCCTTCCCTCTGTATACACCCCGCTACACGCGGACCCTTCCCTCTGTACACCCCGCTACACGCGGACCCTTCCCTCTGTATACACCCCGCTACACGCGGACCCTTCCCTCTGTACACCCCGCTCCACGCGGACCCTTCCCTCTGTACACCCCGCTCCACGCGGACCCTTCCCTCTGTACACCCCGCTCCACGCGGACCCTTCCCTCTGTATACACCCCGCTACACGCGGACCCTTCCCTCTGTACACCCCGCTACACGCGGACCCTTCCCTCTGTATACACCCCTCTACATGCGGACCCTTCCCTCTGTACACCCCGCTACACGCGGACCCTTCCCTCTGTATACACCCCGCTCCACGCGGACCCTTCCCTCTGTATACACCCCGCTCCACGCGGACCCTTCCCTCTGTATACACCCCGCTCCACGCGGACCCTTCCCTCTGTATACACCCCGCTCCACGCGGACCCTTCCCTCTGTATACACCCCGCTCCACGCGGACCCTTCCCTCTGTATACACCCCGCTCCACGCGGACCCTTCCCTCTGTATACACCCCGCTCCACGCGGACCCTTCCCTCTGTACGCCCCGCTACACAGAACTGTATATTTATATCCCCATCTATATACACGCCGTTTATATCCATATCTTCTATACTGGATATCCTGTATATTATATATACCCCTATATATACACCCACATATATACACCCACTATATAATATCTTTTTTTATATATATATATATATATATATACACACACACACACACACACCCTCTATATCCACTTTAAGACCAGGCCTTTTCTGGCACTTTATGTTTACATGTAACAATCAGTATTTTTTGCTAGAAAATGTCATAGATCCCCTAAAACATAATATATATATATTTTAAAGCAGAGGCCCTAGAGGATAAAATGGTGGGTGTTGCAAAAACACTTCTAATGAAAGAGAACACAATATATATATATATAAAACCCAATTTTTTTTTTAGTAAAATATAAAAGATGATGTTACACCAAGTAAATAGATACCAGACATGTTGATCTTTAAAATGACGCATGCCCGCGCAACAATGACAAACGACATAACTTTTACTATCCGCAGGCAAAGCTTTTGAAAGCCTTTACAGGTTACCACTTTAGATTTACAGAGGAGGTCTTGTGCTAGAATTATTGCCCATGCTCTGACCTTCGCAGTGACAGGGGAAGTTTATATTTTTTTTTTAACTATTATTTATTTATTTTTTTTCTCTGTTCCTTTAAAAACTTTTGTTTTTATCACTTTTATTGCTGTCACAAGGAATGTAAACATTCCTTGTGACAGCAATAGATATGTGACCGCTACTCTTTATGGAGAGATGGGGGCTCAAGAGCCCAAACCTCTCCTCTGCTCTTAAAAGCATTCAGTCACACCAAGATCGGTTTTCTTTTTTAAAAATGGTGGTGTTTATATCTGAGTAAACCTGAAGTGATGCTAGGTCCTCACTTCCTGGTTAGTATATCATAGAGCCAAACAAAGTCTTTGTTCGGCTGTATGATCAGCCGGTGGAAGCGTCACAAGGTCAATCAGGACTTCTGGTGGGACAAGAGATCCTAGTAAAGCTTGGGGGGGGGTTCCCCTCCGGGGGGGTTCCCCTCCTGCTTCTAATAGTGATCAAGCGGCTAGTTAGCCGCTTTGATTGCTATTACAAGAGAGCCGTCCATCGCCTCTAAAAAATGGGAAAACAATAACAAGGTGATGCCTGCAGCTGCACACATCATCCTGGTATAACAGCTGAAACTCCAGCGACATACGGTACATCACTGGAGCTCAAGTGGCTATTATGTATACCTCTAAATACACACACCCTTTATATTATATATACCCCTATATATACACACACCCTTTATATTATACATACACACACACTTTAAATATATATATATATATATATATATATATATATATATATATATATACACACACCTCTATACATACACACATACCATTTACACACTCCCTCTACATTATCTATATATATATATATCTCCCAATTACATTATAGTAATATATTACAGCTTACCAATCATTAGATGATGTGGTTGCATTAGTTCTTTTTTTTTTAATTATTAGGCTTTTTTTTCCCCTTTCTTTTCATTTGGTGATCTGGCCAGTAAAGAACCTCTGCATCCGCTCTGGATGAAGGAGCACAGTGGGCACATTGTCAGTCTGGGGGGAGGGGGAAGCCAAACTTCAGATATTACTTTATAGGCAGTTACAGCAAACCAGTTTTTTTTTCCTTTTGGGATAAAGGTTTTATATATAAAAGCTGATTATTATAAGCACCCCTGTCAGTGGTAAATGGTTTGTTTCAACCCTCTAACTGCTACATCTGCAGGACAGCTTTTTCTGTTGAAAAACAACAGACTTACTGGGCACATCAGCAGGTGAAATTAAAGGAAAGAAAGCCTAAAAAAAGAAAACTAGTGCAGCCACCACATATAAGAATTGGTAAGATGTGATATAATATTTGCATTTGGGTTTAATAACGCTTTAATGTAGCAAATTACAGCAATCAGAATTCCCTACAAGGAACTTAATACGAATGATGGCCATGCCAGGGGAAATGTGGTGTAGAATTGAGTGTATAATTTACAGATACAGCTCCAGTTAGGGGTAGGAAGAGGGACTGGGGAGGGGGAGGGGGAAGGGATAGTGTGGTGGAGAAGAGGGATGGGTGGGGGTGTAGGGGAGTGAGAATGCAGAAGTGGCTGTAAATAGGGAAGAAGCAGATAACTCATCCTCGCTGTACATTCTCTCCTCAGCTATCACCATGTTGTTGGGTCACATCGCACTTCTATTGTCACTGACCGCCATCACTGTCGGGGAGCCGCTGGTGTTCAAGGAATGTGGTGAGTCAGTATGGATATCATAAGATGGTGTCAGCCAGTTGTCTCTTCCTCATCTCTGCCGGAATGAATTGAGGGTGGAACATGGAATGAGTGTCAGCTAATACAAGAGAATAATCTCAGTGCTTTGATTGACTGTTTTATCATTGCAGGCTGTGAGAAGGGGAAGCTGCTGCTGGTCGACGTGTCTCCATGTCCCACGCAGCCCTGTCCTCTGGTAAAAGGTAGCAGCTACACCATCAATGTCACCTTCACCAGTGGTAAGTGTGGGTGTGTGTTCAGGCACTGTATGGGGCATGGTGTGTAGAGGTGATGTACGGGGAATGTAGTGTGTGCAGACACTGTATGGGGCATGGTGTGTAGAGGCAATGTACGGGGAATGTGATGTGTGTGTACATGCAGACACTGTATGGGGCATGGTGTGTAGAGGTGATGTACGGGAATGTGGTGTGTGCAGGCACTGTATGGGGCATGGTGTGTAGAGGCGATGTACGGGGAATGTGGTGTGTGCAGACACTGTATAGGGAATGTGATGTGTGTGTACATGCAGACACTGTATGGGGCATGGTGTGTAGAGGCGATGTACGGGGAATGTGATGTGTGTGCAGACACTGTATGGGGCATGGTGTGTAGAGGCGATGTACAGGGAATGTGGTGTGTGCAGGCACTGTATGGGGCATGGTGTGTAGAGGCAATGTACGGGGAATGTGGTGTGTGTGCAGACACTGTATGGGGCATGGTGTGTAGAGGCGATGTACGGGGAATGTGATGTGTGTGCAGACACTGTATGGGGCATGGTGTGTAGAGGCGATGTACGGGAATGTGGTGTGTGCAGGCACTGTATGGGGCATGGTGTGTGTAGAGGCAATGTACGGGGAATGTGGTGTGTGTGCAGACACTGTATGGGGCATGGTGTGTAGAGGCAATGTACGGGAATGTGGTGTGTGCAGGCACTGTGTATGCATGGTGTGTAGAGGTGATGTGGCGTGTGCAGACACTGTATGGGGCATGGTGTGTAGAGGCAATGTACGGGGAATGTGGTGTGTGTGCAGACACTGTATGGGGCATGGTGTGTAGAGGCGATGTACGGAGAATGTGATGTGTGTGCAGACACTGTATGGGGCATGGTGTGTAGAGGCGATGTACGGGGAATGTGTGTGTGTGCAGGCACTGTATGGGGCATGGTGTGTAGAGGCGATGTACGGGGGAATGTGGTGTGTGCAGGCACTGTATGGGGCATGGTGTGTAGAGGCGATGTACGGGGAATGTGGTGTGTGCAGACACTGTATAGGGAATGTGATGTGTGTGTACATGCAGACACTGTATGGGGCATGGTGTGTAGAGGCGATGTACGGGGAATGTGATGTGTGTGCAGACACTGTATGGGGCATGGTGTGTAGAGGCGATGTACGGGGAATGTGATGTGTGTGCAGACACTGTATGGGGCATGGTGTGTAGAGGCGATGTACGGGGAATGTGATGTGTGTGCAGACACTGTATGGGGCATGGTGTGTAGAGGCGATGTATGGGGAATGTGGTGTGTGCAGGCACTGTATGGGGCATGGTGTGTAGAGGCGATGTATGGGGAATGTGGTGTGTGCAGGCACTGTATGGGGGAATGTGTGTGTGCAGACACTGTATGGGGAATGTGGTGTTTGCGCACGCAGACACTGTATGGGGAATGTGATGTGTGTGCAGGCACTGTATGGGGCATGGTGTGTAGAGGCGATGTACGGGGAATGTGGTGTGTGCAGGCACTGTGTATGGCATGGTGTGTAGAGGTGATGTGGCGTGTGCAGACACTGTATGGGGCATGGTGTGTAGAGGCAATGTACGGGGAATGTGGTGTGTGGAGACACTGTATGGGGTGTAGAGGTGATGGAGGTGGGTGGTGTTTGTGTGCAGACACTGTAGGGTGTGAGGTTTGTACAGGTGTGGCCTCAACAACTTGGTGACCATGTCTGTTTCATCTGCCAGAGGAGGACAGTCCAAGCTGCAAGGCTGTTGTCTACGGTGTGGTGTCAGAAATTCCTATACCCTTCCCTCTGCCAGAAGCAGATGGGTGTAAGAGTGGAATAGATTGCCCCCTGAAGGCAGGCACAACCTACACCTACCTCACCAAGTTGCCCATCAAGCCCGAGTACCCCAAAGTAAGTAAAATTGTGTTTGTACTACATCAATAAATGGATGCTGTCTATATACCGCACCTGGGCTTTGGAAAATGTGATTCTGTAAAGCTGGCACTGAAGAGTGTTCTAGCAAACTCCTTCAAAGCTCTGCTGTAGATTCCAAACTTGTTATAAAATGCCCACATTAGAAAGACGTTATTTGCATTGGTTTAGGGTGTCTCAACATAACCACGTCTCCGAACCTGCACTGACCCACCCTACAGACTACAGTAAATTATAGAGATGAAGGTGGGTTAGAACTGGAGCTAAGGTAATAGTAAGAAAGGAGCAATTTAGTATAGTGAGGCCTTTGCTCATCATCCTGTATACCAATAAATGCAAGCTCAGGAGAGAGCGAGACGCACAGCTGGAGCCGGGCATTGATACAGGTGAACCCCTCTGTCCAGAATTAGCCCACTCTAGGACAGGCTCAGGACATATGGAAGTTAAGTGCCTTTACATGTATGACAGTGGGGACAGTCGGCAGATCTCTGTGGGTAGATTCTGTGCAGGATCCGAGGCGTATAGTACACGGTGTGCAAAAATTGTATCAGTTTATCTCTGGAGGAGATATAACCAATTTGGAGCTATTCTCAAAACACTCTTCCCAGGACTCCATATCCAAAGTGGAAATATCCTCCTTCCACTTATCCATCTTGCGAGAATCTACACTGAGGAGAGCCAAATAGAGGGAAGAATGAGGTTTAGAAAAGGGACTCCTGCGTAAGAAGATCCCCTCTATTGGATCAGTCTCCAGTGTAGAGGGAGTGTAAAATTGTGCTTGTGGCACAATTGATGGTATCTAAAGTACATCCTGCTAGGAATTTTTCTACCAAAACACAAAGTGCCCATAGGCGTAATGTCTCTATGGGTCCTAACACTGTAGTGAGCCCACACTTGGAGGGGGGAGAATCTGGCCACTGTCTAAAATGATTGGGTTGTAGAAAGCGTTTCCTAGCTGCGGTCCAGACACGAAGCAAGGGCCTCTCTACACAAGATTTTATATATATATACACACTGGAATTTATATAGCTATTACGCTATACTGGCAATGGCGGTGATCCGCGAATTATGGTGGAACTGTGAGAGTGGGGCGGGTAAACTGGTGCTAGCTGAGAGGAACCTTAACTGATATCAATAGTGAAAGTAAAACAGTGAGCAGTGCTTATACTGTACTGTCACTGTACTGAGTGACACGGGAAGGGATTAACTGTGTGCCTAACAAGTGTTATACATGCTCCTTTTTGCTACGAAATTTGGCTGTTTCCCTCCCTGCAAAGCCAGATCACTGCTCTGTGTACAGAGCCCTGTGTTGTTTGTAAACACAGGGCTCTGTGCTGTGATTGGACACAGCCTATCAGCAGGTCTTAGCCATAAATCATTGGCCGGGACCAGCTGATGAAATAGTGTCCAACGCCAGCGTGCATGCACACACGCCAGAAGCAGGCCCACAATGTGTTGCTGAGCCTGCAGCTGGTGCCCAGGCAGCAAGCGGTTAAGAAGCTGGAGCATGAAGGTGATGGCTGGGGAACAAGCAAGGTCCAGCAGTATTAAACAATAGCAGTGCCCATATTTCTGGCATGACAAGTTCCCTTTATCAAGCTTCCTAAGTGGTGGCACCCCAAGAATTGCAGCCAGTACATGTGATGGTACACATCTCTGGTAACATGGAGGGGCTGTGCTTGTGCCATACACATGGAAGGTGGTCCTGGGGCAGTGAGGACAGGGCATTGAATAGTCACTGTTGGTGGATTTCCTGTCTGTATATAGAGCCCTGTCACAGACTGTTTATATTCTCATCCCCACATTGGGCATCCAGTAAAATTAGGGTTACCACTGTTCTATGGTCACATGATCTCTACTTGTGTCACCTGCAGATGAAGCTGATCGTTAAATGGGAGCTGCGTGACGCCAGCAACAATAATCTGTTCTGCTGGAAAATCCCGGTGCAGATTGTGGATGGCTGAACACAACCTGAGTCTCTGATATTGGCGCAATTTGCTGTCTTTAATCCTCTGTCTAGGACCTGCTTCCTTCTGACTGCTGTGCAGTTGTAACAATTCACATTCACACTCATGGACAACAAATGTTTGTGTTTGCTAATTTTTTATTGAAAAAGAAAAGTTTAAATTGATTCTCTGCTGATTTAACACTTGGTACTGACATTCAAAGCCAATAAAGTATTATCTTAGTTGCTTGTCTCTGTTGTCATGTAATCAGCATTTTTTGGGGTCATTTTTCAACACTCTGCCTGGCCTGGTGATAGGGAAGGGGTTTCCACCAGGCCGGGCGTTCTGTCCTTCCATGGGGAACATTGTGCTTCTAGTCACTGAACTCCAGAAAATGAGTCACACAGGGTCTATATGATCAGACCATCCCAAACCCTTCACAGCCCTCGCTGATGGCAAGCTTCAGCATGTGGTGCATCTCCTCATACGAGTCATATGTGGGTAGACACAACTGGTTAAAGCTGGAAAAGAGAAATTTCACATCATAAGAAACACAGACCACACATCAATCCAACTTCCTGCCTTCATCTTAAAGCCACCTTGTCCCTGACAGGATAATTCTGCAACTTCCTGACCGCAAATGACAGAATTCTAATTCACCCACCTCCAGGACATAAGTGTCCATGGATAACCCTTCCCCCCCCCCCCCCCCCCCCCCCCCCCACACTGTTCTAACCCGAGTGTCCATAGATAACCCTTCTCCCCCACACTGTTCTAACCCGAGTGTCCATGGATAACCCTACGCCCCCCCCCCCCCCCCCCCACCCCCCCCCCCCCCCCCCCCCCCCCCCCCCCCCCACACACACACACACACACACTGTTCTAAACCAAAGTTTCATTATTAATCTTATTTTCACTTCCTCAATTCAATCTCTGTTCCCTATATGGCTAGGCAAACACTAAACAACTCATATCTTCACTGGGAGCGCTGAGAAGATTGTGTATACAGTCAGCAGGGATAAAAGAGGTGCTACATGATAAAAAAAAATTGTGTATCTGTAAAATACTTTTCTTGAAGTACATTGCAGAACTGAGGACTTTTTATTAAAGCGGAGCTCCACCCAAAAGGGGAAGTTCCGCTTTAAGGATTGCTCCCCGTTAAGGATTGGCACCTTGGGGGAGCAGGTACTTGCTCCCACTTCCAGTCCGATTGCCTAGGCGATCGGAAGCAGAACGTGTCTTCTCTCCCTGTAGGCTTTTGGGACATGACAGGTCCCAGAAGACTACAGGCCCATTCAAAAAGCGCAGCGCTACTGCAGGGGACAGAGGGACAGGTAAGTGGCTGTTTTTTAAAAGCAGCTGCAGTTTTTTTTTTGTAGCTGCTGACTTTTATTTTTTGATACGTTGAGTGGAACTCCGCTTTAATGACTACTTGGGTTATGCTATGACCTTCAAGTGAAATGCCAAAAAAAAAAAATCCCATACTTTAAAAGAGAAGTATGGGAGTCTAAAACAAAACCCCAGAACATACCTAGGTGGATGCAGCATCAGGCCCCTGGCTCTAAGACTGAGAACTGAGCAATCAAAGACTGATGATTTTTCGGTTCTTGATCTTCTGTGAGCAGGAAACTAGTGCCTGGCAGTCACCACTCTCTGCTCTGCCCCTCCAGCACTCACTGAAGCACCGGGCTGTGTAGAGGGTGGCTCAGGCTCTTGGCGACATGCTAAGAGGCTGAACCAGTTGCCGGTCAAGCATCTGGGTGGATTCCAACAGTATGGTCAAGATCTTTACAGAGCCTGGACTGGCTGAGTAATGTCAGCCGACTGCAGGCCTTGTCCTGTTGGCTGAAAATGGGTGACAGGAGAGCAGAACAAAGTGTATTCCTGAGATCCATAGAAGTAGGGCCATACTTTAATTGTACATCACAGGACTTCATATTTAGGACTACTTGAGATGTCCCACATCACTGAACATACCCAAAACAGAATAGGGGAAACCACTACAATGGCATCTGCAAGACATTTTGGGCAAATTTGGCATGCATAGGAGGTGTAAACATCAAGTTGGTAGAACTTGGGAAATGTGCGAGAAGACCAGATTTCAGCTTTATAAACCGTAACATTTTACCCCTGTACAAAACATTAGCAAAACCTCATCTGGAATATGCAGTTCAGTTTTGGGCACAAAGAACATTGGCGAACTGGAGAAAATACAGAGAAGGGCAACCAAACTGATAAGAGGCATGGAGGAGATCAACTATGAGGAAAGATTAGAGGAACTGAATTTATTTCCTCTTGAGGGTAAGGGTGGATATGATCAACATGTATATATACATCAGTGGTCCATATAGTGCATGTAGAACTATTCACCCTGGAGTCATTACAGAGGACAAGGGGGCACTCTATGTCTGGAGGAAAAGAAATTTAATCTCCAAACCGGAAACACGGTTTCTTCACAGTGAGAGAATAGACTCCCTCAAGAGTTGGTTCTGGCCAGCTCAGTGGGTTGCTTCAAAAAAGTCCTGGATTCTTTCTTAGATACACAGAATATAACATTTATAGTTAATGTTGATCCAGGGAATATCCGATTGCCTCTCGGGGATCAGGAAGGAATTTTTTTCCCAGCATGAGCAAAGTGGATCGTGCTTTGCTGGGGGTTTCCTCCTGGGTCAACTGCGTATAGGATTATAACTTTTTTCTTTTCTTAATGGTTGAACTGGATGGACTTTTGTCTTTTTTCAGCCAGACTAATTGTGTTACATAAACATGATGCTGAATATACTAGAAAGCACTGAGAGCCCTTGATAGCATAGGCCTAAGAAAAGAGCTAACAAATCCACCTGGAAACAGTAGCTGGAGAAGCGGCCCAACCCTTGCGAGAACCGTAACACAAAACAAACAGGGAATCGGGTTGTTGAAATGAAGCTGTAGACTTCAGCTAAATTCAAACAACTTGAACGACGTTTAAAGCGTGAAACGCTCCCCTGGGCATGCTTAGGTCAATAAGATGGCAACACAATGTCTTTATTTAGGTGAAATGAAGACACCACCTTGGGTAAGGAGGTCCGAGGCCTCAACACCACCTTATCCTGGTGAAGAGCCAAGAAAGTCCCCCTTGCAGGAAAGCACAGTCAACTCCGTAACCCTTCAAGTCAAGGTAATGGCAACTTAAAAAGAAAAACTTGCACGTAAAGAGCAACAAGCAGATCTCTTTGAGAGGTTTAAAAAAGAGACATTTTCAAAATCGACAAGACCAACTTAAGGTCCGACTGTGAGAAAAGGGGGGCTGCATAAGCAGAACAATCCACGTGACTTGCTGCACAAAGGTCATGATGAATACTAAGTCCTCTGTATCCTGTGATGTACAATTAACAAACGATGAGGCCTCGTTCACATCTATGGGTGTTACAATCTGCTGAGGGAAAAAAAAAGTCTGATCCTTTCCAAAAACACAGTAGCTGAAAACACCTAGATGTGAACATGTCCCATAAGAAACCATGTTAACTAGACTGTAGAGAGTTTCTGTAAAATACAAAAAAAAAATACAAGTGTGAACCAGGCCTGATACCCACATTTGCAAATACCATATTTTTCACTCCATAAGACGCACCTAGGTTTTAGGAGGAAGAAAACAACAAAAAAAAAAAAATATTCTGAACCAATGCACTGCAGCCACAGTGCAGGAGATGACCAGGGACTGCAGCCACAGTGCGGGAGATGACCAGGGACTGCAGCCACAGTGCAGGAGATGACCAGGGACTACGGACACAGTACACGAGATGACCAGAGATTGCGGGCCTTTGGGGAGTGGGTACCTGAATTTGACAGGTACCCACTCCCACGGAGTTGTCCTCCACCTCCCCCCACCCGTTGTCATTTGGAACACATGACAGGTCCCAGAAGACTACAGGGCCATTCACAAAGCACAGCACTTCTCTCGCGCATGCGCAGTGGGCACCTGGTCATGAAGCTGCAAGCTGTCACAGCTGTGGTGCCGACACTATAGATGCCGGAGCCAGGGAGAGAAGACAGTGAGGGACACTGCTGGACCAAGGAACAGGTAGGATCGCTGGAAGTCTGCAGTTTCTGCTGCACAGAAGAGCCTAGCGGCTCTTCCGCTATTCTAACACGGCGACAGGGGGAATACCAGGCCGGCCGTTCCATAAACCGCACAGACATTTTTCCCCCCAGTTTTTGGGGGGAAAAAGTGCATCTTATAAAGCAAAAAAAATACAGTAGGTAACACTTTAAAAACCTTTATAGCTAATCATTTTAGAGTTCAACCTAAATGATAACCCCAAAATGATTCTTCTACTTCTGATGTGCACAAGGATAACCAATGTGTTAGGACATGGGCATTCATTCTATGTGTCGGACCTAAAGGCTCGCTCCAAACCTGTCTTGTAGTAAAATGCACACTTACCTGTGTGGAGGGGGTTAGGTTTTAACAGGGGCAGACTGACAACTCATGGGGCCCCTTGGCAATAGGGGATCATGGGGCCCCTGTGTCCTTGCCCAAACTCAAAAAAGCCTATGAAAAAGGTACCAGGGGCAACTCATGGGGCCCCCTACTGACCCTGGGCAGTGCCTGAGTTTCCAAATGGTCAGTCCGCCCCGGTTTTAACATTCCACACTGCTGTACAGAGAACATTGGGCCAGTCACATCAGTCTGTGCACCAGAGGTGTTTATGCTCTAATGCCCACCAAAGTTACAAACGTATTATTTTACATTTCCGTATTCTGTAGTGCTGTACAGCAAACACCGAGCCATTTAAGTGGTTACAATAGCACAGACACTTACCAGGTGTGAGCAGTAGGCAGTGTACCATGGGTGGGGGATCCAATGATCTGAAAGCTTGGGCACAGGGCGGTGAACCCCCTGGTGGGAGCTGGGAAGATCCTGTAGTAAACTGTAGTAGCCGGGCTAGTTCCTCCTGTGTGAAACTGGAAACCACAGCCCAAAACCAGTTCATCACCTGCCAGGGAAAGCCACACCAGATCATACAAACTGATGACAACACAGATGCTGAACAAAGTGCAAATGCATACATCACACACGGTGCTCACCTTTTCTCGGAAGTGCCAAGATCCTCCAATGACCACAGCGTGGGCCTGGAAGTCCTGCACAGCAATGTGCCCGGTGCCACACATGAGGAGCTGGGGAAACAGAGCAGATGGTATGACATGCTCAGAGCACACAACAAGCTGTATACAGTGACTGGGGGGGGTACACAGCAATCAATATGCCATGGAGGACAATCCCTATATGAGGGAGAGGAAGCACAAAACAATTTCAGTTTTTTTTGTCCATTGAGGAACACAGGGATTCAGATACAGTCGATTTATACTGGTGGCTAGAAGAGGATTGGACTCTTAGCAATTGTCTGCTTACCAACCAGCCTCTGTATAGCCCTTCTGCTACCCATCATATTTCAGTTTCTAGTGTCCAAGGAGGGTGGGCACCTTATCTTCAGTTCTGCTCTACTTTTTGCTAGATTTTCTTTTTTCTGCCTCACTACACTGTGGCTTCAGCTGGTCTCCACATAGCAGCTATCTAGATAGACATTAAGTTTGTTGTGCCGTACCCGGACCCTGCTCAAACTGAGGTGCGGGCACCTGGAATGTGACTTCTGAGCACTGGGCTCTACATTGTGATGCTTTCCAGACCTGTCTGCACAGTGTTAGCCACGGAGCGCTTTCCAGGTCCAGAGCCATGGCACAGGCCCAGGTGGTGGGTCTGAAGACTCACTGCATAGCCGACACTAGCAACAAGCACATTTCGTTTAAAATCACAGAAAGCAAAGCCCAGACACCAGCCCCACACAGAACGTAGTGACGTTAGTCCGAAGCTCTACCCTACGCATTTCGTCATCTGTCTTCACAGAGCGGAAGGACTGTCACTACGTTCTGTGTGAGGCTGGCATCTCGGCTTTCTGTGATTTTAAACGAAATGTGTTTGTTGCTAGTGTCGGCTATGACACTGTTCCATGTGAGTGGATTATGATGAGTCTTTTATGAATAAACGTGTCCTACGGTAGCACACGATCGTTTGTTTTGTTTGTTTGTTTTTTTCTTTTCTGAGCCTGTGTACGAAGTTCTTGGAATGCGGTCTGGAAGTTTTCGCTGCTGCGTTCGTAGATCTGCAGAGTATTGCTCCCAGAGAGGATAAATAAATGTCTGGATATCTGAGTCTCCCTGACTTGCAATATACTACATCAACAAGCTGAGAGAAAAAGAATTTGAAAAGCTGATCACACTGCTGAGTCTGCCTGCAGAGTATTGCACCCAGAGCAAACAAGTGCCATTGCTGGTTTATAATTTAACTGGCAATTTGCTCTGGTGAGTTTATTAATTTCTGTTGGTGGTGGATTTGCACAAAATTGTTCTTATGGTGATGGACATTTTTCACTGCTGATGAAAAAGAAAATTCTTAAAAGACAATTTTTTGGTCATAAATTTATTCATCGTTTTATTTGAATATTTTAATTTTTATAATGCTACCTTTTTTGTTTTATAATTATATGACTGCCCGTTACTACTCACCTGCAGCATAATGTATGAGTATGACCTCCTGACACTCATCTCTAGCAGGATTTTTGATGACCTGACACTCCTCCCCCCAGTTGACTTTATGAGCTCCTGACACTAACCTCCACCATGACTGTATGTCTATCCAACACTTACCTCCAGCATGATCCTAAGATCATCTGACACTCACCATCATGACTGCTTGACCCCTGACACTCACCCCCACCATGACTGTATGATCCCCAAAAACTCACCTCCAACTCATTCTCATCAAAGATGCCAAGAAGATTGTCTGGGATGAGTTCATTCAGCCCTGTGAGAAGAAAAGACACCTCAGAACACAATGTCACACACAGTCAGAGATGGCCTTCTAACAAGATAGCTCCAACCAACATGCACACTTAGAGGCTGTCTCAGAACAAGACAATTCCACCCATACTCTTCCCATTTCCTCACCTTTTAAGAAATGCTCCACCTCTTCCCGCACCTGGTTGCACAAACGGTGCTGGGCCAGAAGATTGAGATAGTAAATCTTGTTCTCATTGGTGACAGGAATGTGAGCTCCGCCCGAAATCAGCTCCACCACCTACAAGAGGCATATAAAAATGGACCCAGACAAAAGGTGCGTTAATCCTGCATAGGGAGTGTCCTACCAGTGCATGTTTTCATCACATGATACTAGTGAAAGCTGGCTGAACAACTGATACAAGCTACATATAAGTAAACTGGCACTGACCTTTTCCAGCTGACCTCCACGTCCATATTTCTCTTCTGCGAAAACCAGATCTGTATCTGTGACATCATGAGTTAGGAGATAGAGGACCTTCGACTGGAAGAAATCTGGGTCATCGGTCTCAAAATACTGGAATACAAAAAAAAGGGAGGAAGACCGCTCACTATCAAAACATGTGTAACGTGTCAGTGTAACACTCAAAGCCACGTTCATCTTGACCAGGAAGTGTTTGGACTATCCCAGGACTGGAGTTTTTTTCACAGTAAGCACTTTATCTATGGGAGTGATTATTACTTTTAATAAAGTTTTTTTCTGGTTTTACCTTTTGTGGTTGCCCTTGGCTATTTTTCCATGTGTCCATGGGATGTTTTCTCTCGTTGGATGAGATGCTGTGGATATTAACCATGTTGATCTGAAGTCTATGGGCAGTCTCCAGATGCGTCTATATAGTCCAGTAGCCAGGGGCGTATTTACCACAAGGCAAACAAGGCACTTGCCTAGGGCAGCATTTTGCAGGAGGGGCAGCACCTCCCCTCAGAAGAAGGACTGGGATGAACGAAGGGACACAAGTTCCATGGGAACCAAGGGGGATCCAAGAGAGGCTGCGGGCTGCTTGATGGTGTATTTAGAGCCCGACTCCCGTTCCCAGGTATGTCCGGAGCTCAGAAGATGAGTGTCTCTCTCTAGCGCCGTGGGGGGGGATGGTGGAGGGCTCTCCCGAATGGGGGGTAGGGGTGTTGTTGGTCAATGTCATACTCTCTCAGCAGAGGGGGGGGGGGGGGGGGGGGGGGCAGTGTGGGGGGGGGGTGGGGGGGGGGGGGGGGGGGGGGGGGGGGGGGGGGGGGGGGGGGGGGGGGGGGGGGGGGGGTGTTGGCCGGTGTCCATTGGGCAGACAATTTTTGTGTTGCCTTTGGCAGCACAAAACAAATACACCACTGCCAGTAACACAGCTGCATGCGACTCTTTTTTTTCCCCATTAAAAGTCCACTCACCTTAGTGAGAGTTCTCTTTGTATCTAAGGTGGTGGCACAGCACTGATATTTGGAATTTGTGGAGGAAAGTCCCCATTGCTTGAATTCAACTTTCACATATATCACTTTGGGAATTTAAGATTTTGATATGGACTTAATGTTTATTTATGGATTTATTATGATTTATATGTGATGTAATCTTTATTAACATTAGCATGGCATTTTTTTCTGTTTAATGTCTATTATACAATTTTGGTCAAATTGGTATTGCTAGTTGCTGTTAGCTTTTAGATCCTTTTGCCTCGATTCTCCTTTTTGAATGATAGGATTATTCCCTCCACTACACAACATGATCCCTTGGGTGCTTGTTGTACCTTATAGTGCATTCGAAGTCCGATGATCTGAGCCAGGAAAGAGCGGGTGAATCGGGCCCTCACCAGCTGTTCATATCCTCCTCCCTGACATGATTCAAACAGGCACTTCCCAACCACCCGGCCAGCAAACTCATATAGCTTCATACGGAGCCCAGAGGGTCTGCAAGGGTTGGGGTGAACCTGAAAAAAAACATAAAATGCAGAAAATGCAGGGAGAACATGAACACTTATTTTAGAGGAAAAACCCCACCTTATTATCTTCCCATAGACCACAGCCATTCATTTACACTAGCCACTGGCTCACACTGGCAGAGGGGGGTGAATAGGGTGACATGAAACCAGAGAACTCATCAGGCCCTGAGATTAAAAGAGGCTGAAGGACTCACCAGGCCCTGGGTATTGTCACTGAAGCGAGTGAACAGTTTATTGTTTGTATCAAATAAAGCTTTACAGATCAGTTCAAACCACTCACGGCGCGGTCCACCCCAGTCCAGGGCTGCAGACAAAACAATATTAATAAGCTGTAAGACAAGCCATGTTATTGTATATTAGAATTAAATCATCTGCTCCACCCACAATCTACCTTCTTCATCCTGGAAAATCACTTCAAAGTTTTTGCTCCAGTCAGACACAGAGAAGTTTCTTGTTGTTCGAAGAGACTATAACAGAAAAAGAGAGAAAGGGGTCATCCAGAAGACAGCTTCATTTTCACAGTAACAGACAGGAAGGGATGTGAGGACCAAACCTCGCAGCAACAGACAGGGGAGTCTGAGGATCGTACCTCAGAGCAATAGACAGGAAGGTGTGATGACCGCACCCTGCAGCAATAGAGAGCAGGGTGTGGGGACAGTTCTTCAGAGGGCGGTAATAAAGTACAGCTACTCACACTCTCCAGCAAGGAGTGCCTGTTCACGCGTAGGATTATTTTGCTGCGGTTCTTCTTGCAGTGAATGTTTTTAAGCTCTTTCTGGAAGAAGGCAACCTTATCATGGAATGTCTCAGATCCACCTAGAACAGGTGACACAAGATGACTCCATCAACATTATATCTCTTATTTATCCAGTCTCATAGCCCATCAAAAGGTTCATTCTCGTATACTATACCCCATACTACCTCCACTATACCTCACCAGGCCTGGTATATCCCCTCTAAACCTCGCCCTTGCTATACTACATCCTCCTGAAAAGACCCCACTCCCTCTATCACCCTGCAGAGATCCACATAGGATCTATGGGTTTAAAAACTCACCAATATTCAGGTGAAGGAAACGTGTGAAGGTGGCAGCCATGACATTGCGGTCTTTGCAACTGACTTCTATTGGCGGCTGCAGGCCATCATCCACTTGTAGAGAGAGCAGACCATGCAGAGGGTCTGGGGGGAGGTATAGGAACTGCACACAACAATACAGCCACAAAGAATTATTCAGAGACTTATCACCTAGCAAGGGGCCAGAAGAGACTAAGGTAAGGAGTTTGTGGAAAGTGGAATGGCATAAAGAAAAAGTGGCATTAGGCTGGGCACCAGGTGTAAAAGGTCCATAAGAGGAAGATGCAACATAGTGAAGTGGTAGAAGATAGAAAAGGGCTACACATATAAAATGTGATAAATTGAGTGAATAGAAAGAAGAGAGAGATGGGCCATAGAAAGGAGGCGTGATATATGGAGGTGAGGGTCACAAGAAGTCTCTGTCTCACCTTGGTCCCAGGACATACTCGGAAAGTGAAGAGCCTCCATGGAATAATACGCAGGTAAAATTCTTTTATGGACAGTTGCTGCAGCAAAGCATACAGACATTCAGGTCATTGGCAAGATAGGAGAGCCTCCTCGCCCAGACAAAACGGGACTCACCTTTGGGGAAATGTAAAAGTACACCTTTTTAGGTTTTTTCATTCTTTCCAGGGAGCTCCCATTACAAGACGCAGTTCGATCCTCTTTCGGGCTGGCAGATGATGGACTCTGCTGTCCAGAGACGCTGGGTGGACTGGAGGGTGGGTAGAGATAACCCTCGAAGAAAACTCCGACTCCAGAACGTGAAACATTGTTATCCACAGTGGCTTTCTCCTCATCTATAAAGGAACATGCACAACATGATGCACACAGACAGAAAACATAACTAATAATGCAGGGTGCACAGCACGGCCAAAAATAAACAACATGTCTGAAACAAAATCTGTCTGCTGCCCTACAGCAACCACTTACATTCTTCCCTTTTCAGCCTGGAAACAGACATTTACAAGCAGATTTTCTGCTTGCGACACTTCATACAGTCTTTCTGTTAGCACCTGTGGTAGTGAGCCCTTGTTGATACTCAACTTGGGGTTCTCCATGGCGTGGAGTCCAAGCCCCAGCCTGCTTCTTCACCAGAGTCCCTGATGGTGGGGATGGACTTGCACCAAGCTGGGACCAGGTTGCGGCCCCCAGGTAGGCCCAGCTGAGGTTGAGGAGACCGCTCACGGGAGCAAAGTATAATGGGAGGAGACAAACTGAATAAAATAGGCTAGCCGCGGTCAGGACAGGTGGAAAACAAGCAAAGTCAGAGACTGAAGCCGGGGTCGGTACACAAGTAGTCAATGTAGGATTCAGGCAGTAGCAACACACAGGATCTCCAACAACTAGGAAGTTGCTCAGGCAATGTGGGCTAGACTGAGCATGTCTTATATATAGACAAGCAAACTAGGAGGCTGGCCAGGAAGTGATGGAAGGGAAGGAAATAAAACCCAGAGGATAGCAGATGACGCCCATAGGTGAGCACAGACAAACCACACATGTGAATGGAATCAGGAGCAGCAAGGAGGTACGAATAAACAAACAAAAGGCTAACTTGTGGCACCTTTCAAGCACCTTCATACACAGAGATCACCAAACCTTGAACTCACCACTCAGAACAATGATGTTGAAGTGTCCATTGCTGACAGGATGGCCCTGGTAGCGCAGGGTGGCCTGGAAACATCCAGTCTGCAGTAGAGTCAGGTGAAGCAGGACCCGGTTTTGCTTCCCACTACAAACAGTGGTTTGGCAGCAGCCATCTGCCATTCCCACAACACCGAGCTATGAGAACAAAAGAAAAAAACACTTTGGAAGCAACAATATTGACTTTGAAATATCACCATTTTATCACAGAGGGGCACTTACCTCACTGAGTGACAGCGAGTAGCTCTCCAGCTCTCTCAAACTATCATTGGTGGGATTTCCATACTGGTCACATGGAGCAATATGGAGTGTGTGCTGCTCTCCACAGGTGAGGACTAGGGTGGAAAAGTGGCCTGTGATCTGTGTCTTTGTTTTGCTGGATCCACAATACCTGTGAGAAAACAGCAGTGAGAGGAGTGCCACAAGTATACTCCACCACACAACACCTGATCTAGTCCTGCATCTATGGCCTCTTGCCTGGGTGGAAGACCTTGTAGTATGGACTATGCCCAACATTGAGACCTCCAACACTGATAGTGATCTGGTATCTCCCGGACTTCCTCACAGTAAAAGCTGCTTTCACCACATTTCTCAGGGGATCCTGGAGAACCTCCAGAGTGACTGGGACTTCCAGGGACAGTTCTGTGTGAGAGATGTGGACTCGCAGAGACATGGTACCACTGATGGGGAACGGGTGACCATTCCTGTAGAACAGCTGTGGAGAGAGGCACAGGTCATGGCAGACACAGACACACAGACATAATCTGAAAGATGTGACCTGCTCACTCTTACATGGACTCGGAATCCCATGGGCTGTCCAACCTCACATGGCTCATTCCAGTCCCAAGAGACCTGACAGGAGCGGGGCTCCAGGTATTTCCCCCGTACATAGTTGTAGATGGTACGCTCTGTCCCACGTTCACGTCCCTCATGGTGCCAGAAAGTGAGGACACGGGAACTGAGTTCAAACAGGAACTTAATGGTGATGAGAAGGACACACATCAAGCCTGTAACGCTGCCTGTTCAAAGACAAATAAAATGGTTGCATAAGGACACAGTTCAGGCCAAAGGGATGGGGGGGGGGGTTACACAAAATGTGTGTGGATTGGGGGTACAACCCCATAAAAATTAACACAAAGATAGAGGGGGAGGTAAATGAAAAAATTAAAGGCCCATCTGACTCAAACGGGAAACACCTAACCAAAGAACTCTGCTATAGGAGTACTGGAGCAGTAGTAGTAGTATAGACCCTCTACTAACAGACTGACACCACAGGGGGCGCCAACAGTGTCATCTCACCGATAATGTACAACATCAGTGCACAGGGTGGAAACTGACAGAAGGGTCATAGCATCTCCTCCACATGTCTCAGGTTCGGGCGGACAGGTCTGCCGAGACTGGAGATCCAACCTTCACATCTGCCAGAACAGGAACCTGCGACAAAAGGGACGTCATGAGTACAAGGCGCCATGAAGATTGTCTAACCCCCATCAACCAAGTATCCCGCTACTGAGGTCACAGGAAGGACTGGTGACTGGACAAGCACAATAGGCCCAGACCATCATGGAGTGGAACCAACTGCTGGACACCAGTGCCACCCAAAGGACACCACACTCACCTAGGCACAGCATGCCGCATCATCGGCCGGATGCATCCTTCCTATAAAAGAGAACATTGATTCACAAATCTATCCACGTATCCAGCCTCCAATGTGCTACACCACAGCAATATGCTGAGCCCCACCCCCAGAACAATATGCTGAGCCCCCACCCCCACAATAATATTCTGAGCCCCACAACAATATTCTGAGCCCCACAACAATATTCTGAGCCCCACCCCACCACAACAATATTCTGAGCCCCACCCCACCACAACAATATTCTGAGCCCCACCCCACCACAACAATATTCTGAGCCCCACCCCACCACAACAATATTCTGAGCCCCACCCCACCACAACAATATTCTGAGCCCCACCCCACCACAACAATATTCTGAGCCCCCACCCCCCCACAACAATATTCTGAGCCCCACCCCCCACAACAATATTCTGAGCCCCACCCCACCACAACAATATTGTGAGCCCCACCCCACCACAACAATATTGTGAGCCCCACCCCACCACAACAATATTCTGAGCCCCACCCCACCACAACAATATTCTGAGCCCCACCCCACCACAACAATATTCTGAGCCCCACCCCACCACAACAATATTCTGAGCCCCACCCACCCCCCCACAACAATATTCTGAGCCCCACCCCCCACAACAATATTCTGAGCCCCACCCCCCACAACAATATTCTGAGCCCCACTCCACCACAACAATATTCTGAGCCCCACAACAATATTCTGAGCCCCACAACAATATTCTGAGCCCCACAACAATATTCTGAGCTCCACTCCACCACAACAATATTCTGAGCCCCACAACAATATTCTGAGCCCCACAACAATATTCTGAGCCCCACAACAATATTCTGAGCCCCACTCCACCACAACAATATTCTGAGCCCCACAACAATATTCTGAGCCCCACAACAATATTCTGAGCCCCCACTCCACCACAACAATATTCTGAGCCCCACTCCACCACCAACAACAATATTCTGAGCCCCACTTCACCACAACAATATTCTGAGCCCCACCCCCCCCACAACAATATTCTGAGCACCACCCCCCACAACAATATTCTGAGCCCCACCCCCCACAACAATATTCTGAGCCCCACTCCACCACAACAATATTCTGAGCCCCCACAACAATATTCTGAGCCCCACAACAATATTCTGAGCCCCACTCCACCACAACAATATTCTGCTCTTTACCCTATTCTGCCTATACTCCACCTCTACCCCCCCCCCCCACACACACACACCTCCTATACTCCACCATTACCAACTGTCCTTCCCCCCCCCCTTTCTATACTCCACCGTTGCAACTGCCTTTCCCTCTCCCCCATTCCTCCTATACTCCACCATTACCAACTGTCATTTCCTCCCCCCTCCTCCTATAATCCACCATTACCAGCTTCCCCCTCCTCCTCCACTCAGCCCCCCCTTCCCCACCTCCTATACTTCCCCATTACCAACTGTGTTCTTCCCTGATTCATCCTATACTCCACCTCCATTCGTCCCTTCCCATAACCCCCCATCCTATACTCCACCATTACCAACTGTCCTTTCCTCCCCCCTCCTCCCTCCTCCTACACTCCACCATTACCAACTGTCCTTTCCTCCCCCCTCCTTCTACACTCCACCATTACCAACTGTACTTTCTTCCACACTCCCTCCTCCTATACTCCACCATTACCAACTGTACTTTATTCCCCCCTCCTCCTATGCGCCACCATTACCAACTCTCCTTTCCACCCCCCTCCTCTTATGCTCCACCATTACCAACTGTCCTTTCCTCCCCCCTCCTCCTATGCTCCACCATTACCAACTGTCCTTTCCTCCCCCCTCCTCCTCCTATGCTCCACCATTACCAACTGTCCTTTCCTCCCCCCTCCTCCTCCTATGCTCCACCATTACCAACTGTGCTTTCCTCCCCCCTCCTCCTATGCTCCACCATTACCAACTGTCCTTTCCTCCCCCTCCTCCTATGCTCCACTATTACCAACTGTCCTTTCCTCCCCCCTCCTCCTATGCTCCACCATTACCAACTGTCCTTTCCTCCCCCCTCCTCCTATGCTCCACCATTACCAACTGTCCTTTCCTCCCCCTCCTCCTATGCTCCACCATTACCAACTGTCCTTTCCTCCCCCCTCCTCCTATATTCCCCTAAGGATCGCAGTGATCTACAGGCCTCCCGGATCCATACCCCGCTTCCTGGATGACTTTGCCGCCTGGCTTCCCTTCTTCCTCTCCTCTGAGCTACCAACCATCATCCTCGGGGACTTCAATATCCCCATCAATGACAACAGCCCGGCTACTTCCCAACTCCTCCACCTACCCTCCTCCCTCGCGCTCACACAGCACACTCAATCCTCCACCCACACCATTGGGAACACCCTGGACCTCGTCTTCTCCCACCTCTGTACCCTCAACCAGTTCTCTAACACCCCCTTCCCTCTCTCCGACCACCACCTCCTCACGTTCTCCATCTCCCCTTCCCCTAACTCCCCCCCCAGAGCGCCAAACCATCACCAGCCGCAACCTCCGCAACCTGAACCCGGCCCCCCTCCACTCAGCTGCCGACCGCCTACACGACAGCATCCTTCCACTGTCATGTCCTGACCTAGCCACTAACACGTACAACGACTCACTATCAGCTACCCTAGACTCTCTGGCACCCCTAACCACACGCTACATCAAACCCCAGACCGCTCCAACCATGGCAGAACGACCACACTAAATGCCTCAAACGCCGCAGTCGCGCTAGAGACTATGGCGCAAAACCAGGTCCCCCCGTTCATTTTTTCCCTCTACAAATCTTCCTTCCTCACTTACACCTCCTCCCTCCACGCCGCCAAGCAGGCTTACTTCGTAAACCTGATCAACACCCTCTCCTCCTGCCCTCGCCGACTCTTCTCCACCTTCAACTCCCTACTCTCTACCCCCCCCCCTCCTCCACTCAGTACCTCACTCACCGCCCACGAAATTGCCACTCATTTCCACAACAAGATTGATGCAATTCGTCATGACATAGTCAACTCGCAATCTACCTCCCCACCTAGCCTCCCCCCATCTCTTCCCTCCTCTGACCTCGCAACCGCACTGCCCCCCTCCACCCTCAAGAACCCGCTTACCGTAACCCCCCCAGCTCTGCACTCCTTCAGCCCTGCTACCACTGAGGAAGTCACCAGGGTCTTCTCAGAAGCCCGCCTCACTACCTGCCCCATGGACCCTATCCCCTCTCGACTCCTCCAGTCACCCCCCTCTTCCCTCATCTGCTCCCTCACCCACATCTTCAATCTCTCCCTCTCTACCGGCGTATTCCCCTCCCCCCTAAAGCATGCGCACATCACCCCCATACTCAAAAAGCCCTCCCTGGACCACTCTGACCCAAACAACCTCAGACCCATCTCCCTGCTCCCACTCACTTCCAAACTCCTGGAGCGCTTAGTCTACGACCGCCTAAGCGCCCACCTAACTGACAACAACCTCCTTGATCCACTACAGTCCGGCTTCCGTCCCCTACACTCCACCAAAACCGCCCTCCTCAAAATCACCAACGACCTACTAACCGCCAAAGGAGACTACTCTGTCCTCCTCCTCCTGGACCTCTCCGCGGCCTTCGACACAGTTGACCACCCCCTCCTCCTTAATAAACTACTCTCCCTTGGCATCAGAGACACCGCTCTCTCCTGGTTCTCCTCTTACCTATCCCGGCGCTCCTTCAGCGTTTCCTACAATGGTGCCACCTCCCCTTCCCTTCTCTGTTGGGGTCCCCCAGGGCTCTGTCCTTGGACCCCTTCTCCATCTACACCTCCTCCCTTGGCAAACTCATACACTCCCACGGCTTCAACTACCAACTCTACGCTGATGACACTCAAATTTACCTCTCCACCCCCCACCTCACCTTTCTCCGCCCGCATCACTCACCTCCTAAACGACATCTCTGACTGGATGTCGCTCCATTTCCTCAAGCTTAACCTCTCCAAAACCGAGCTTCTCGTCTTCCCTCCTGCCCCGCCCCCCCCCCATCCTATCCATCACTACTAACATCAACACCATCAATCCCGCCCCGCAAGCCAAAGTCCAGTCATTCTGGACTCTAACCTCTCCTTCCAACCTCATGTCAAATCACTTACAAACACATGCAGGCTCCACCTCCGCAATATCGCCAAAATACGCTCCTTCCTTACCCCTGACACCACTAAGCTACTCGTACACTCCCTGATTATCTCACGCCTTGACTACTGCAACTCCCTCCTCACCGGCCTACCCCAGTGCAGGCTCTCCCCGCTTCAGACCATCCTCAACTCAGCGGCCAGACTCATCCACCTCACCACCCGCTCCACCTCTGCCACCCCCCTCTACCTCTCCTTCCACTGCCTCCCGATTGCCCAACGCATCAAATTCAAACTACTCACTCTGACCTACAAAGCCGTTCACAACACTGCCCCTAACTACCTCACCAACCTGATTCCCAAGTACCACCCTACCCGTACCCTTCGCTCCTCACAGGACCTCCTTCTATCTTGCTCCCTGGTCTCCTCCTCAAACGCACGTCTGCAAGACTTCTCCAGGTCCTCCCCCATCCTCTGGAACTCACTACCCCAATCCATCAGACTGTCACCTTCCCTCCTCACCTTCAGGCGCTCCCTCAAAACCCATCTCTTCAGGGAAGCCTACCCCACCCTCACCTAACTGCTGCTCTCCTTCATTCTTCCTACCACTCCATCCCCCACAGCCACTTCCTCTCGTACCACTACCCCGTCCCTCCTAGATTGTAAGCTCGAAAGAGTAGGGCCCTCTTACCCCTCGTGTGCTGTTTGTAGTTGCTGTAATGTTTCATGTATTGTCCCCCCCCCCCCCTCTATTGTACAGTGCTGAGCAAACCCTTTGGCGCTATATAAACTCGACGCAATAATAATAATATTCCACCATTATCAACTGTACTTCCCTTCTTCCACAATCCTCTTATAATTTACCATTACCGATTGTCCCCCCCCCCTTCCTTCTATACTCCACCAATATCAACTGTCATATCCTCCCCCCTCCTCCTATACTCCACCAATACCAACAGCTCTTCCCCCATTCCTCCTATACCCCTCCATTGCAACTGTCCCCGTCCTCCACCATTATCACCTACTCTTCCCTTCTCCACTTATACTTTATCATTACCAACTGTCTCTCCCCCCTTCTCCTCTGCCAATGTCAACTGTCATTTCCTCCCCCCCATACTCCACCATTACCAACTGCCCTGCCTCTTCCAATACTCTACCTCTACTCAGCCCTCCCCCCTTTCCCACCCCCACCTCCTATACTTCCCCATTACCAACTGTTCTTCCCTGATTCATCCTATACTCCACCTCCATTCATCCCTTCCCATAACCCCCTCCTGCCCCCATCCTTTACTCCACCATAACCAACTGTCCTTTTCCTCCCCCCTCCTCCTATACTCCGCCATTACCAACTGTCCTTTCCTCCCCCTCCTCCTATACTCCACCATTACCAACTGTCCTTTCCTCCCCCCTCCTCCTATACTCCACCATTACCAACTGTCCTTTCCTCCCCCCTCCTCCTATACTTCACCATTACCAACAGTTCTTCCCCCATTCCTCCTATACTCCACCACTGCAACTGACCCCTCCTCCACCATTATCACCGACTCTTCCCTTCTCCTCCACTCCACTTACACTTTATCATTACCAACTGTCTCTCCTCCTATACTCCACCAATGTCAACTGTCATTTCCTCCCCCCTCCTCCTATACTCCACCGTTGCAACTGTCTTCCCCATTCCTCCTATACTCCACCATTACCAACTGTCCTTTCTCCTCCCCTACTCACGCCGACCCTTCTCCGCCGGTATTCCGCTTTCGGTTGGCTCCTTCACTTACATCCAGTCGGTTTCCTGTTTTGGACTGGCAGGTCACGTGACAGGTCAGCCGGCTACGGAGCTGGGCGGGGCATCTCCGGCTGGGAAGTTTTTATTGTAATAACGAGCAGGTAAAGGAGGCGGGGCTGTGTACGTCATCGTAGTGCGCCGGCAGCAGCATGGTGGGGAATGTTCTATGTGTATTAGTGCAGGGGACCCCCAAAAGTACAGAGAAAGGGGGGGAAGAGTACCGAGAACGATGGGGGGGAGGTGTGATGGGGGGGCAGGTACCTTAGGGTTCGCCGGCATTAGGGGGTATGTAAATATTTTCCTGATCATCTATCTCATGTCTCTCGTTTTGTTAGGGAAAGGCAAAGAAGACGAGGAAGTATGCGGTGATGAAGCGGAGAATCTCCCTCACCGACCAGCGCATGTAAGTGTGTACATTGATGCCCGGTGAGGTTGTATGTTGTCCTACCCTCGGGGACGGGGAGGGCTGTATGTTGCCCCTTCCTCAGGGAGGGCGGTATGCTGTATGTTGTCCACCCCCCAGGGAGGGCCGTACGTTGTATGTTGTCCACCCCCCCCCAGGGAGGGCCGTACGTTGTATGTTGTCGTCCCCTGGGGAAGTGCGTACGTCGTATGTTGTCGTCCCCCGGGGAAGTCCGTACGTCGTATGTCGCCCCCCAGGGAGGGCCGTACGTCGTATGTTGTCGTCCCATGGGAAAGTCCGTACGTCGTATGTCGCCCCCCAGGGAGGGCCGTACGTCGTATGTTGTCGTCCCATGGGAAAGTCCGTACGTCGTATGTCGCCCCCCAGGGAGGGCCGTACGTCGTATGTTGTCGTCCCATGGGAAAGTCCGTACGTCGTATGTCGCCCCCCAGGGGAGGGCCGTACGTCGTATGTTGTCGTCCCACGGGAAAGTCCGTACGTCACCCCCCCCCCCCAGGGAGGGCCGTACGTTGTATGTTGTCATCCCCCAGGGAAGTCCGTACGTCGTATGTCGCCCCCCCCCCAGGGAGGGCCGTACGTTGTCATCCCCTGGGGAAGTCCGTACGTCGTATGTCGCCCCCACCCCGGGAGGGCGGTACGATGTATGTCATAGCCCACCCAGAGGGCCGTATGTTGTCGTTTCCAGGGGAAGGCTGTACGTTGTCCCCCCGTCAGGTAGGAGGACGGTACGCTGTATGTCGTTAACCCCCCCCCCCCCCCCCCCCCCCCCCCAGGTAAGGCATGCGCTGTATGTCATTCCCCTGGTTAGGTCTGTATGTGTATGGTGTCCCCCGCCCCAGGGGATGGCCATACTTTGTATGTTGACCCCCCCCCCCCATCCCCCAGTGATGGCTGTACATTGTATGTCATCCTCCAGGTGAGGGCTGTACATTGTATGTTGTCCCCACCTCGCTGAGAGCTGTACGTATATGTTTCTGGTGATAGCAGTACGTTGTATGTCATCCCCCCCTCAATGAGGGCTCTGAGTTGTATGTCTCCCCCTGGTGAGGGCTGTACATTGTATGTCATCCTCCAGTGAGGTGTACACATTGTATGTCACCCCCCCCCCCCCCCCCTCCTTCCTCAGTGAGGTCTGTATGTTTAATGTTTTTACATTTCCCGATGAGTTCTGATATGTTGTATGTCATTCCCACAGTGAGCACCATGGGTTGTAGGTCGTCCCTTTGGTGAGGGCTGTATGTCATCTCCCCGGTTAGAGCTGTACATTTGACGTTGTCCCCCCGGTGAAGGGTTATATTGTATTTCATCCCTACAGTAAGGGTTGTACATTGTATGTCTCCCCCTCGGCAAGGTCTGCAGGTTTTATGTTGTTCCCCAGTGAGGTCTATACATTGTATGTCAGCCCCCAGTGAGGTCTCTACTTTTTATGTCTCATTGTCTCTCCAGGGAGGGCTGTGTGTAGTATGTCATCCCCCGCTGAGGTCTGTGCTTTGTGTGATTGTTGTATGTTACTTACTGTTGAAGTCTGTACACTGTATCTATCTCCTCCCACCCCCTTCCCAGTGAGAACTGTCTGTGTTATGTTGTCCACCCCCCCCCCCCCCCCCCCGGTGAGGTGTGTATATTTTCTTTGTCATTGATATCTTTTATTTGTTTAGCAAGGAGAAAGACCGGGCCAAACCGCAGCGGAAGAAGGAGAAGGATCCCAGTGCAATTAAAGAGCGAGAAGAAGTGTAAGTAACAGTGATGGCGTTCCACCCCAAATAATGTGGAGGGCTTCTGCTGGAGTCCCTTCAGAGTTTGAGTCTGGGCTGGGGGTATGAGCCTGCCTGCTGACACATTTATTCTCTATTAGTCCTCAGGTGCCGTCCTGTCTTTTTCCAATATAATACAAACCTGGGACCTCCGTACCACATCCTGGTTGATACCAACTTTATCAATTTCTCTATCAAAGCAAAGCTGGACATAGTACAATCTATGATGGACTGTCTGTATGCCAAATGTGAGTACCTAATCTGTCCCCAGTATTTCCTGCACCCGCCGTCTATACCACTTATGTGAGTTCCCTTTATATGCCCACTAGTATTCATCCCCTTATTTATCCCCAATATGACCTGTACCCCCAGAAGTCACACGTTACCTGTCTTTTCCCTCTGCTACCTGTACCCAGTGTGTCCCCACATTACCTGCATCCCAAATGTAGCTGCCCTTTTCTTTTTTTTTTTTGCTAAATCAAAGCACCAGTCTCCACTTTTCAGCCATTTGCCTAGGGTTGGTTCTTTCACCTCTCATTGTAGTGTCTCTATGCCATCGCTATTGTTTGTTTTCCACCAGGTGTGCCATGTATCACAGACTGTGTTATGGCTGAGCTGGAAAAACTGGGACAGAAGTACAGAGTGGCTCTCAGGTCAGTGATTGGTTAGCATTTCTGGATGGAGGGGCTAAGGTTGATGTGTTCTTTATTTAAATACCTAGGAAGAGGTTACACTCAGGCCTTACCGCTGCTCCACGTGTAGCCGTGACCGGCCTTACCGCTGCTCCACGTGTAGCCGCGTCAGGCCATGCCCGCTGCTCCACGTGCAGCCGCGTCAGGCCATGCCCGCTGCTCCACATGCAGCCGCGTCAGGCCATGCCCGCTGCTCCACGTGCAGCCGCGTCAGGCCATGCCCGCTGCTCCACGTGCAGCCGCGTCAGGCCATGCCCGCTGCTCCACGTGCAGCCGCGTCAGGCCATGCCCGCTGCTCCACGTGCAGCCGCGTCAGGCCATGCCCGCTGCTCCACGTGCAGCCGCGTCAGGCCATGCCCGCTACTCCATGTATAGGCGTGTTCATCAGGCCATACTGTGGCTCCACTTGCAGGAACAGCAGGCCATACTGCTGCTTCATGTGTAGCTGTATTAGTCTATACCACTACATGTATAGCTATGTTTGTCAGGCCATACCACTACTCCATCTATAGCTGCTGCGCTGTGCCACACCATAGGGCAGCCCCGGTCTATACTGCTGCCCCGCGTGCAGCTGCGCTGGGCCATACCGCTGCCCCGCATACAGCCACGCTAGTCTTTTCTGAGCTGTGTATGTGGATGAGCTGACTTTGATATATTGTACATCCCACAAGGCCAATGTCTGTAATGTGATGTACTCTCCATGGATTTGTGAATTGTTTAAACTCCAGAATTGTGATGTGTGCTTGTATTTTACACTGTCATGGGTGAGGTATGTCAGAAAGTTGTGCTTCCTTTGTGTTTGTCATTGGCACTACATTTTTCTGGTTGGTGTCCTTCAGGATTGCCAAGGATCCGACATTTGAGCGGCTGCCATGCACACATGCAGGAACATACGCTGATGACTGCTTGGTACAGAGAGTCACCCAAGTAAGTACTGTAGTGGGTGGGAAGGGTATACCAGTCCTTGTGGTGGACATGACAGTTTATGGGTTGGCAGTGGTGACAATGAGTGAAAAGTCATTGCTTGGTTGAGCTGTATAGGTCCATAGTGTAAACCGTACAATTCTAAGAGGTTACTCATAAATAGGAAGCTATCCATCTATTAGTATAAAGTGCATCTATAGGAAGGTGTATATCTACTAGAGCAGCGTTTTTCAACCACTGTGCCGCGGCACACTAGTGTGCCGTGAGATATTCTCTGGTGTGCCGTGGGAAAAATTCCAATTTCATCTGTAACATGTGGCTTCGGCTCACAAATAGACCAATCATTAGAATCTAATGATTCAGTGGTCGGCAAGCCGCGGCTCGCGAGCCACATGCGGCTCTTTACCCAGTCTAATGCGGCTCTTCTGTGTGCCGGGGCGCCTGCTCCCCTCCCTCCTCTCGGTCGGCCGCTCCCCTGCCTCCTCTCGGTTGGCAGCCCCAAAAGTCCGCGCGGACCTTTTAATCCGGCTTGCGGATGTGGCTGTCAGGATGTGTGTAGGCGGGCAGCGTGCCGAACGTGAGGGGAGGGGAGCTAGGCTCCTCTCACAGTCCGCCCTGAAGACCCGAACGGCGCGGGAAGACAGCGAGAGGAACGCAAAAGGTAAGTGAATTGACACGGGGGACTTGGCTTACTAGAAGGGGGGGGGGGGGGGGGAATAGTACTGTGGGGGATGAAATACTATATGAGGGATGAATTACTTTATGAGGGATGAAATACTATATGGGGGGATGAAATACTATATGGGGGATGAATTACTATATCAGGGATGAATTACTATATGAGGGATGAAATACTATATGGGGGGATGAAATACTATATGGGGGGATGAATTACTATATGAGGGATGAAATACTATATGGGGGGATGAAATACTATATGAGGGATGAAATACTATATGGGGGATGAATTACTATATGAGGGATGAATTACTGTATGAGGGATGAAATACTATATGGGGGGATGAAATACTATATGAGGGATGAAATACTATATGAGGGGATGAAATACTATATGGGGGGATGAAATACTATATGGGGGATGAAATACTATATGAGGGATGAAATACTATATGAGGGATGAAATACTATATGAGGGATGAAATACTATATGGGGGGATGAAATACTATATGGGGGGATGAAATACTATATGGGGGGATGAAATACTATATGAGGGATGAATTACTATGGGGATGAATTACTATATGGAGGATGAATTACTATATGGGGGATTAATTACTATGCTTACTATGGGGGAATATTACTATACTTACTATGGATGACACATACACATCATTCATCTACTCTTGGTCCGGCCCCCGGGTCCAATTATAAAATACTTTATTATTTCATAATAAAGTAATTATAAAATAATTTCTTTGTGTTTGATTCCTATTCAAGAGAATTACTTTATATATAGTCAATATAGGCACAGAGGTAAATTTTTTTAACATTTTCTAATGGTGGTGTGCCTCGTGATTTTTTTCATGAAAAAAGTGTGCCTTTGCACAAAAAAGGTTGAAAAACACTGTACTAGAGGGTATATACTACATCTATAAGGTTATTCATCTATAGGAAAGTATACAGTCTATTAGAGAGTATACATCTAGTAAAAGGTATAGAATATTTCTATAGGAAGGTATATAGTATATTTGTAGGAAGGCATATATCTATTAAAGGATATACAGTACATCTTTAGGAAGCTCCAATCTATGGTAGGGTATAGAGTATATCTATGGAAAGGTATACATCTATTATAGGGTATACAGTACATCTATAGGAAGCTCCAATCTATGGTAGGGTATAGAGTATATCTATGGAAAGGTATACATTTATTGGAGGGTATACAGTACATCTATAGGAAGGTATGCATCTAGGGATTCTGGGGTCTCTTTTCTAAGATTTCTTTTGTTTGCAGCATAAGTGTTACATTGTAGCCACAGTGGACCGAGACCTGAAAAGGAGGATCAGGAAGATTCCTGGAGTTCCCATCATGTACATTTCCAATCACAGGTTAGATGCATTCTGGGTGCCCCTCCCATAGGTCTGCTTGTCTCCATGATAATGGTGGTTTACCTTTTTCATTGTTTTTCCTTCAGGTTTAATATTGAGAGAATGCCAGATGACTACGGAGCGCCACGTTTTTAGGATTGCTGCATTCCTGTTGAACTGGTTCTGATTGGTCAGTTGCTAGCATCCCATGATGTTCCTCCAAGGGCTTTCAGTAACCTGTAGACAGGTTTATTTGGGTCCAGAGAAAATGGAAGAATTGTGGAAGCCTCTTTGAGTAACTCTCTAAGGTGACCTCCATCCCCCCACCTCCCAGGCTGGTGAATGTATTCATACATTATATGGCAGGGTGTCACTCCGGTGTTGCGTACAGTTCCTTTGTGGCCCCTCTGATCATCTGTCTGTACAAAAATGATTCTATAAACACACCCAGTGTTTTTATATATGTAAAGTCACAATTAAAACAATCCACCCCTTGATTCTTTGCTGCTGTCATCTTACTTGTGTGAATTACTTTTACAAACCATTGCTTCTCTCCTCCTGAAAATGCCTTCAGTAGCTTGATCCATTAGCATGGGGGTAAGTCAGAACTCCTAAAGTGGTCTTGAATCGGTGACTCAGAAACTACCAAAGCCACTTGACCAGCATAACAGCTAGAGACATCATGTACTTGCAAGGAGAGCTCACCATTGCAACCTTCTGACTGCAGGTTTACTTTTATAGCCTTGTTTATGGCTGTGTCAAAATGCAGTGTACCCCCCTTCCCTTTTACCCCAAAACACTTACGAGTCACTGCAGAGAAGATGGGCACTTACCACTGATGGGGAGGGGGGGGCGGGGGTGCTGGAGGAGGAATAGAGAGAGAGTCACATAGTGGAGTGGTGGAAATGAAGAGATAGAGGGTAGCACATAATGGGGTGGAGGTAGAGAGTGGAGAGACTGGGGATGACACAAAGCAGAGGAGAAAGAATGAAGAGATAGTGGGTAGCATGTAGTAGTGGGGGGGGGGTGGATTTTGGGGCAGAGAGACATAGGACGACACATAGCAGAGGAAGAAGAGAATGGCACATAGTGGGAAGGGTAAGGTAGAGAATGGTACGTGCAGTGGTGGGTGTGGGAGGAGCTAACGCAGGCACATAATGGGGATTACTGATAAGACAGAAGTCTAAGGCCCCTTTCACATGAATGGTCTGATCAAATCCACCATCAATTTTTCAGGCGGACCTGATTGGATGGTCCATTCACTCCTATGGACCTGCAGATGTAAACGGACTTGTGTTCATTTACACCCGCTTACCTCCGGTCCACTAGAAAAAAAATGAAAGGGGATCTGTTCTCCTCCGTCTAGGCGGGTCAAATTAGAGGGTAGTCAGGTGTAAACAGACAGGCAGAGGTTGTTTACTCCCAGCCACCCGTAGAGCAGATTGGGCTCTGTCTGTGTCCAACTGAGCGGACACGGATGGCTTATCCACCCACTCTGTTCTAATCAGCAGGGGATCAGCAGACAGATTCCCTGCTGATCAAACGAGAGTCTGTCCCTTGTGAAAAGGGCCTTAGTCTTAAAGTGTTACTAAACCCAGGACCCTGCATTTACTATATCCGGTCTCCCCGGACCCTGCATTCACTATATCTGGTCTCCCACAGTACACAGGATATGGAGGTGCAATTATTTTACTAAATATAAACTGCTAAATGTCTTTTCTTATCAGCAGTTAGAGTAGTCTTGTGACTACTATTGGTGTCCAGCCGAGCACTGGATAAAGCTTGTAGGAGGAGTTTTCATTCTGCTCTAGGAGGATGCAGGACCTGTCTGGACAGTGCTGATTGGCCCTGTACTGATCACATGCACTCTCCCAAGAAAAAAAAAAAACCATTAGCAATACACACCACACTGAGCATGTGCAGAATGACCACACAATATGTCTTATTAGGAGATAAGAGGTGGCACTGAAAGAATGAGAGGATCAGAGAAGACAGGATTAAACAGCGTTTTTACACAATGCAGAGGATTAACCCCTTAGGTCCCACAGTGAGTATAACCAGCATGCTTTACTGCATATACAGACTGATTTTACTGTTGTGGGTTTAGTCATATTTTCAGGCTATCTCCAGACTAAATATGCATCCGTGTTTAATTTAAAAATGCATATTTTTCTTTTTAACAACACATACTTGAATTATTGTTTTTTTTTTTTTTTTTTTTAAATCAGCCAGAAGTTCTGTTTCAGGGGGTAATGAAAAATTGCTTCTTTATGTGCCACAATTCTCTTTTTTTCTGTGCCTGTCCATGGCAGCATACATCTGGTTTGTGCTCTACCCCTTCCAACACACAGAGACAGTGGTCATTGTACAGTATATATGACAGGGGCGATGCTGTTTCCTCATACAGCAGCTTGCATGCCCCCTCCCCTTCGCTGTCCAGTCACAGAATACTTTATATTTTGTAAAGGAGTTCATAAAATGCAAAGTGCAACATGATTGGGCAGGATGATGAAAGGAGGGGCAAGCATATTATGCATTTGAGACCCAAAGGATTGGCATTGGAGCGCTGGAAGTATAGTGATAGTTGTACTCCTGGCACTCATTAAAAATATAAATTGTTAACAAAAGCATATAACTCATATGACTTAACCCATTGCAAACCAGAACATATTAAAAAGTGGCTGAATTCCCAGAGATCTTTTTTAAAGAGAATTTTGCTATGGAAAAAAAAAATATAAAAGTCAGCAGCTACAATTACTGTAGCAGCTGACTTTTAGGAAACATGAACTTACCAGTGCTGGCCTCACCTTGGCTGGTTGTTCGCTGGTCTTCAGATGCCCGGTGCTAGCATCTTGGATGTGGGATGCCAGCTCTGCCTTCCTGGTGTTTCACAGCCTGCTTCCCCCACTGCACTATCTCCATAGACCAGCAATGGGCAAACTACGGCCCATGGGCCGTATACGGCCCGGCGGACCTTTTAATCCGGCCCGCGGAGCTAGGCTCCTCTCACAGTCCGCCCTGAAGACTGGTGTAGCATGAAAATCTGTCTCCTATGAGGATCTGTCCCCCCTCGACGTATCTGCGCAGGAACACGGCGAGAGGAACGCGCGGAGCAAAGGTAAGTGAATTCACACAGGGGGGACTTGGGGACTTAATATGGGGGATGAATTACTATGGGGGGATGAATTACTATATGGGGGATAAATTACTATATGGGGGATGAATTACTATGGGGGATGAATTACTATATGGGGGTTGAATTACTATGGGGGATGAATTACTATATGGGGGTTGAATTACTATGGGGGATGAATTACTATATGGGGGATGAATTACTATATGGGGGATGAATTACTATATGGGGGATTAATTACTATGCTTACTATGGGGGAATATTACTATACTTACTATGGATGACACATACACATCATTCATCTACTCTTGGTCCGGCCCCCAGGTCCAATATATGAACCCATTGCGGCCCTCAAGTCAAAAAGTTTGCCCACCCCTGCCATAGACCCACAGCCCCCTGGGACCTTTGACGTGTCCTAGGTGGTTGTGGGCAGGAGGGAGGCTAACTTCTGCTTGGATGTGAAGCAAGTACCTGTCAGAAATAGATACACGCGCCAAGAAGGAAAAAAAAATCGAACCTCCAATGGTGGTGGTAGAGAAGGAAAAGCGGAACTACCCTTTTTAGGCGAAGTTCTGCTTTAAGATGAATAAATGTCACTATTTGTGCTACAGAGTTTTCTTTTCAGTCCAAATATGTGAGGGATTAATACGAAAGTGTTGTCAATTTCTTTTAAAGGACATTCAGAGACTCCGCTCTCTCCTGGCTCTCATCCTACCTGTCACAGCGCTCTTTCAGTGTTACCTATAACGCTACCACCTCCCCCTCACTCCCCCTCTCTGTTGGGGTCCCTCAGGGCTCTGTCCTCGGCCCCTTCTCTTCTCCATCTACACCTTCTCCCTTGGCCAACTCATACACTCACGGCTTCAACTACCACCTCTATACCGACGACACACAAATCTATCTCTCAACCCCCCACCTCACCCCCTCGGTCTCCGCCCGAATCACACACCTACTGAGCGACATATCAGACTGGATGTCGCTCCACTTCCTGAAACTGAACCTCTCCAAAACCGAGTTTCTTGTCTTCCCCCCCAGCCCGGACCCCACCCCCCATTGACTTCTCCATCACATCCAACAACGCCACCATCAAACCTGCCCCGCAGGCCAGAGTACTTGGTGTCATTCTGGACTCCAACCTATCCTTCCAGCCCCAAGTCCAATCTTTAACAAACTCGTGCAGACTCCACCTCCGCAACATCGCCAAAATCCACACGTTCCTAACCCCAGAAACCACTAAACAGCTCATCCACTCCCTCATCATATCACGACTCGACTACTGCAACTCCCTCCTTACTGGCCTGCCTCACCGCTGGCTATCACCGCTTCAGTCGATCCTGAATACGGCTGCCAGACTCATTCACCTTTCCAACCGCTCCATTTCCACCCCCCCTCTGCCAATCCCCCCACTGGCTTCCGATTGTGCAATGGATCAAATTCAAAATCCTAACACTGACGTACAAAGCTGTCCACCGTACTGCCCCGAACTACATCACTGACCTAATATCCAAGTACCACCCAGCACGCACACTCCGCTCCTCACAAGACCTCCTTCTCTCTAGTTCCCTGGTCTCCTCCTCCCATGCCCGCCACCAGGACTTCTCCAGGGTGTCACCCATACTCTGGAACTCCCTGCCCCAACCCATCAGATTATCACCTACTCTCCTCTCCTTTAGGCGCACCCTGCAAACCCATCTCTTCAGGAAAGCCTACCCCACCCCCTGCTAACTTGCCGACCTCCTCCACTCTTCCTACCACTCCATCCCCCACAGCTATCTCCTCCTGTGCCACCATCCCCTCCCTCCTAGATTGTAAGCTCCAAAGAGCAGGCCCCTCGATCCCCTCATGTTTTGCATTGTATTGGTATTGTTCTGTCGCATGTTCTGTCTCCCTTTGTAATGTACAGCGCTGAGCGAACTATTGGCACTTTATAAATACTGTATAATAATAATTTACTCCAAGCAAACCATTTTACTAAATGGAAATAGCAGACCTTTGTTAATGGCTTACACCATTGTACTGCGTA